TATTATAAAAAAGCTTATTCCAAACGAAACATGTTGTCAGCTTGGTGTTTGTGTAACAAGTATGTCACAGTTTGGAATAAAACATTTTCTCTCAATGTTTGTAATTACTGGATGGATGCCCAAGAACAATTTTATCATATTATTTCACCATCTGAAGAAAAACCTCTCGCTTTATATAAAATATATATATATATATATATATATATATATATACATATATATACATATATTTATATTTAATTATATGTTTTTGTTATTAGTTTTAATATCAATTAAATACTTTGGTATTGATTACTGCTCTAGATCAAAATATTATTCAAGTTACTGATTGTCTAAATGAAAATATTTATATATTATAATATCAAAATCTTGCGCAAAAAAGTGCAGGCTTCATCAGTTAAGTAGACAATATCACACAATTATATATAAATATATATATATATATATATATATATATATATTAATAATAACAATATAATAGTTGTTGACTCATTTCAGAATGCAATGCACTATACTTAACTAATTAATTGCTTGTTATGAGTGTCGACACGTGTGCATCTATTGCAAAACGCGCATGGTTAAACTAATGTCATGCGATCCTCTAAATCTCCATGATGTAAAAACGATTTAGTTTACTTCAAGCTTTTACAGTGCAGTGATCAAATTCATAATTCAAACAGTAATACATAGGTGTCCTTTCAAATATTTTCTAAAAAAAATTAATAAAACGTATAATACAGGTAATAAAAGTATGAAATATGTTATTAGTATAGTGAGTCAGTTTCTGTAATGAAACAAAATATTATTAATGGTCTCTATGATTTAGTCTTTTAATAATAACCTTATTATTGTTATAAAGAGAAACAAGGGACAAAGATTATGATGATGATATTTTCCTCTTTGTGTGTTCATCTGTTGTTGTATATAATAATCGTAACTTTGTTATAATGAAATAATTTTTATATCGCCTACAACAATAATAATGCTTGAATAGTATACAATCGTGTTCGATAACCACCTAAGCTAGCTTGATATCAAACAGCAGTGATATCAAATTTTCAATTTAAATTATAGATGTCAAGCATGATATCAAGTGCATGCTGCAATATATATTCACTATTAGAAATATATCAAAGATAGTCTTATAAAAAAGAGAATAGTCAACCTCTGGGTTACCTTCTAGAAACACCAGGTGGAAGTAATGTAAATACAAAGTTAACTAGTGGTGTATGTCATCGCGCAAATGACTGGAACTGGAACTTACCGTACCAAAAATAATTTTTTTTAAAAAAGATAAAAATAATTTTTTAAACTTTTTAAAAAAGGAATTTTAAATTTTTGGAAAAAAAGACTATTTGAAAAAAATATTTTTTTTAATATTTTGAAATATTTTGGAAATTTTACACTTTTTTCGAAAACAATCTCGCTGCTTTAACTGCATAAAGACGAAATATGGAAGCGCGTAAGCGCCGCGTCGCAGTATAGTGGACGAACGATGTTATGGAACCCATAGAAAGGTAAAAAAAATTAGATGTTTTATTAAAATCTCTATAAAATATCTGATAATTTAATGTACATACGTCTCGTAAACAGTTTTGACCGCCAAATGACATTTTTTTAACTTATTTTTATTGAGAGTCCATAACCGCTGGACCTGTCTTCCCAAAAATTCAATCAGTTCTTCATCTTGTCAATACAAGTAAAATGTTTATTTAATTATTAAAATCGGACGCCTCGTTCTCTTAAAAACTGAGTTCAGAAACCTCTGAAACGTAAAGATATATAAAAAATTTCATTTTTGATTTTTTTGCGATTATTATATAACTTACCCTACGGGAATTAAAAAATTAAACACATCAGGTTTTTCAAGAATGATTTTCATTTGACGTCTTGTGATCAAGCGGTTGAGTATAATTTTGTACAATTCTATAACCATTAGTCCAGAAATATTAATTTTTTGGGTCTGGTTAATTAATCATAAAATGTATTTTGCGTAAACTTTTTGGATTAAATACATCACACAGTTCTTGACTACAATTGAATATGCAATAACATTTGTACGATCTTGTAATAGATAATTGACATTAGCAAACACCACGTGGATTATTCGCTGAATGCAATTTACAGAGTTTGTTGCTATGGGAATGCAGAGTGATATAAAACTTTTCCACTGAACTTTATCAAAATAGGGCTGTCCATTGATTTATATCTAATTAAATAAATTACTAATCAAACTAAAAAAAACAGTCACTTGTCGTAAATAGAATATATAAAAGCTCATCAGTACTTGCTTTTACCAATTAATATTATTTTGAACGAACTGATTTCTCAAGAGAATAATCTTCATACATCAGCACTTCGAGATATTTTGCAATCAAGACCTCCCATAGATCGAACGTCATAGAAAGATATCGTCAAATACAAAAACAAAAATAATATTGAGATTTCGCAAAATTATTTTTGATTTAGTGGTGCAGTATTTTCTAATTATAATTAAATTTGTCAATAATAAATCAATCATTGATATCGTTCGATAGCCAATTAAAGAAATGGTTTTATCTCTTGTAAATAGTTTGTTTCTAAGAGTGTAGTTGCTTAATTAGTGAAACATTCTTCAAACTTCATTATATATATATATATATATATATATACATTTATTATTGGTAATATTTTTAATATTATAATTACTACTCAAAATTAAATTGATATCAAACATAATAAACCATGTAGGTAGTAACTAACCAAGCATGATTTATCAGAATATTATATTGTTACATGATATATTTCAAATTAAAAGTTATTAAATCATCCAATTATCAATTAAAAATTAAAGTAATTTAGAAATTTAATTAATTTTACAAAACATTCTAATTTTGGTTTGACCGATCTTCAAAGCGCTAATAAAACTGTTTAAAAAAATTAAAATATATAACCAGATTTATTATATATCAGATAAATTCTGACTTAATCAATGTTAAAGTTAAATTAGAAATGAACAAGTATATGTAGGCAAATAAAATATAAAATTTTATGGTATAAACAAATTAAATAAAATAATTTATAAGAGAAAGGAAATTTGTGTTGATTGCAGACTCTGACTTTGCCTTGGATGCGTCGAATAATCTGCATTCTTGAAAATTTATTAATAATTTTCACAACAATGACTAATTAATCCATAATTACTGCTACGTTCATTGTGATATGCTAATATTAATATAATATTTGTATTTGACCTTTTATTTAAAATATCGAGTTTATTCATATATCCTAACATCAAAATTAGCTAACCCTACATATTTAATTTGAAATTAATTACTTGTATCCAAACTTTTCGTATCGCGCTCCCTTGTATCTAAGAAAAATGTTTCGCCTCTTTAATTTTTCTAACAATCTAATATCATAAATACTCAACTGATATAATAATTTAATTACCAATTAATATACAATATCATAAAAATGATTCATAAAAAATTATTCGATTTTTTAGATCATTTCAAATTTTTTTTATCAAAAATAGTAGCTTGAAAACAGCTTCACGCCCTCCTGATGGGTGCGACCCTCAGGTTGGAAACTTTGGAACTGACCCTATGTCACTTTTATACTTGTTTATCTATGCCCAAATATTACTAAAATATTTTGAAACAAAAACGTGGACGTCAAAGATTTATTGAATAACACCCTAGACCTAGACAATATTAGAATACCCCGTGTTCAACACTTAATGGTCCAGACGTTTTGACATAATATTTTACGTCTTCATCAACATTTATAACACTAACTTGCCAAAAAAAAACAAAATTTTAAGAAATTAATACTTATTCGGAAGAGCAGTGCAACACAAATAATGTGTGCATATAAAATACAAGACTTTTTACAAGAATGGATTTACTGGAATTATCTGATATCCTCCGATGATGATATAAATATTCGTCAAAACGTATGGACTATTAAGTGCTATTCTATTAATCTTTGACCAAGAATTTAAGATTTTGTTTAAAAATTACACAGATTGAAGATGTTTCGTTTTGCTTTTATTAATTTTTTTTAGTTAATAAATGAAACATCATCAATCTTAAAATAATTATTTTATTGACAAACTTCGATACCGATTTATTAACTTCCCGTAGGGTAAATTAAAGTAATCGCAAAAAAATCGAAAATGAAAATTTTCATATATTTTGACGTTTCAAAGGCTTCTGAACATATTGGCATACCTTAAAAAAAATGGATGTATGTGTGTGCGTGTGCGGATACAAATTTTCGTCGACGTCGGGACTCAGTATTTGAATAATTCAAAAAACGTTCGATTCGTATTGAAAGTGATTAGTTGTTCAAAAGCAAGGTAGCATTCCAAAAAGTTTTTTCAAAAAATGCCAAAAACGGTAAACTCAGTTTTTAAAAGAAAAAAGTTTTAAATAAAAAAGAAAAATATTTTCATAAATAAACCCAAAGTTTTATTTCAAAAAGTTAAATTTTTTCAAAAATTCAAAATTTCTCAAAATCTAATCTTTTCAAAGTTTAAAAAAAATTAATTTAAATTAATTTTTGGTACGGGAAGTTCCGGCAATTTGCCTTAAGACACGATGCCACCAATAGTTTTTTTGACAGTTCGGCATAAATTATGAATGTTCAAAGTGCCAACTTGATAAAAGATAAATGAATATGACTTAGGTCACTTTGAAAATCATCGGCTCATATGTTCATAAATACTATTACTGTTTGTTTATTTATGCTATATACCATATAATTATATAACCAAAAATTTATTGAGTCGTACAAAAGTATGTTTTTTTCGTAAAATGTCAAAATGCGGCCTGCGTAAAACTTCATCCTAGTTGCAAGCAAGTTGAAAACATCAACATAATGTTTGTAAATAAAAATGAATCGATCAAAATCTCGTTTCCTTATATTATATACGATATCTTCGCTTGCCGTCATGTTAATATCGAATCGGAATATTTGTGTGAGTTTGGCTCATTGGCTCATTGTCCTAACCCGCCGAACGCAATTCACACTCATACATTTGCACGTCCGTAATTTAAATATATCATACGACCACAACTCGACGCTACACGCTGTCGACAGTTCGAACAAACAAGGTGCTGTGATAGAGTGTTCCCGTCGGGATTTTAATTCAACAACAAATTCATTATTAATTTATAATAAATTCATATCCTAATAAAGTGTTTGTTTAAATTAAATTCCTTGTTTAAAATTTTATCAATTGAATTATCCGAAGTTGCGCACGAATCGCTAGCTGTCATTGTGCGGCGCGAAGTGATATTTTTTTAAAACTCAAACAATCAAGATAAAATGGACAGGTGAGTGTTTTAATAGATAAGCGATGAAACTGTAAAATCATTTATCATATTTAAAATGAATGCTTCTCAACTTTCGAATTAGTTGTTCTGTGACATTAGTAAAGGTGGTTTATAATTTCCGGATGTTGGTGCTAATTACAAATTAACGGCGTACAAACCGTTAAAAACAACTTCACTTGTAATTAGTAAGTAGTGTCACTTTAATAATATAAAAAGTTTAATAATGTATTTGTTAATAAAAGTTTATCTTTGGCGATCAACAGGTAATAATTGTGTTTTGTAAATATTTGCATTTGTTACCTCTTTATTGGTGTGGTGTTTGGCATAAGGCAAATTGCTGGAACTTCCCGTACCAAAAATTACATTTTTTAAAAAAGATTAATTTTTTTTATTTTGAAATATTTTGGTAAACAAAATTGACACACATTATTGGAATCTCCATAAAATATCTGATAATTTGATGTGCATATGTCTAATGATCATTTTTGACCACCAAACGCCATTTTTCTTACTTTTTTTACTATATCTCCGAAACCGCTAGACCTGTCTTCCCAAAAATTTAATCAGTTCTTCATCTTATCAATACAAGTAAAATGTTTTTTGAATTATTAAAATCGGACGCTCCGTTCTCTTAAAAACTGAGTCATCGTTTTTGGCACTTTTTGCCCCGTATCCTCGAAACGGCTAGACCTGCCTGTGCCAAAAACTAATCAGCACGTCTTCTTATGAATAGGATTCGAATGTTTTTTGAATAATTGAAATCAGTTGAACCGTGTTCCCGAAATCGTCGACGAAAATTTGTATCCGCACACACACACACACACACATACACATACATCAATTTTTTCTAAGGTATGCCAAAATGTTCAGAAACCTCTGAAACGTAAAGATATATAAAAATTTTCATTTTCGATTTTTTCTCGATTACTATAACTTGTCCTACGGGAAGTTAATAATTATGTTTTGTAAAATATTTTCCCTTGTTTCAGTCTTCAGAATCATTGCGGTACAATTTATTTCATACATTTTGTGATTGTTAATGTCAAATGATTCGAATCCTACACTGTTTTGAAAATTAATTTTTCATCATTAACACGTTGATCGCCACGATAATATCAGAACAATTTTGACATGAGCCATAGTAACGTCTTTAACTAACTACTTTAGTTAAAGTCAAAGAAACTTATTTTTTTTATTATCTATCTCTTTTATTTACAACTATCCAGTAAAGGACATTCAATAAATTTGATGAATTTACAATAGTTGGCTGAAAAGGGACATTGTATACTACAAGGGCATGTTGGAAAAAACAACTCAGTAGTTGTGTTTTCCATTCGATATAAAATTCACAATATTTTATTGATAATTATATAATTTTAACTATTTACTTATTAAATAATTTCTTATCAATAATGATTAAGTTATTTCCATTTTTTATCAGGAAAGTTGATGGCTTAGTATTCAGTAAGAAACTTAATGTATCAAAGAATTTTTTTTTTGACTAAATTCCTAAAAAACAATAGTTTTTGCCACACATATATGTATGTCTAACATGGCTCATGTGAAACTTCTGACAAGGCGATTATCGTATCAAGTCCAAATGTTTAATTTTACTAATCTGTTTTGTTAGAACAACGACTTTATATCGAAACATATAGAAATATCAATTGAATTCACTAATAAATTTATTTACTAGTTCTTCGATAGACTTCGAACTGATGCAGTTATATGCCAGCCTTGCTAATCATAAAATCATGCCACAACAAACAAATGTTCTTCACTCAATATACCAGAAAAAGACAGTCGATTTTGTTTCAGCTACAGCCTCAATATTGATACGATATTCGAATCGAACGATCTGTTACATAATCATTTTGGCCTTGAATATTAACATGGTTTTCTGCATTTATATTGCAATATAAAAATGCAGTTACTTGATTTTTAAATACAAACAACGAATTAAAACTATGAGCATGAATAATAATAAGATAATATGCAAAAGGTACTCTATGCATAGATTTCTATAATAACATTGAATATTATCTTGCTTAGCATGCAAAGACAGTAGTTATATGGAGCCTACAGCTTTTGAATCTCCCAAAATTTGATACATATATATTAAAATGTATTTGTTTGTATGGCGTGTAAAATTTTTAAGACAGTACAATTAGACTAACACTTATACCAAAAATGATAATTAACTTGTAAGTAATTAATGGTGTTTCAAATATTAATATTTCAATTTCTATTTACTAGACCTTCTCAATGGCTATATATGATTGTTCTGATTGCAACTCGATATGTTTATAAAAAAATATTTTAGGTGATATAGAACTTCATGTTGTGTTGTATCATTCTAAGTTGACATTTTTCCTGATATTTACACTGATATCAGTATCAAGTGTCCATATCTAAATTAGCATAGGCTTTCACCTATTATTAACGCGATTCTGATTGTGAGCGTTGAAATATGTATATTTAGTATTTAATTTCATTAAATATGAAGCAGACAGGTTGTTGATGTTGATATGCAAAACATGCTGCTTTAATGATTTTTATATTTCAAGTTGGATGTAATTTTTATAATTTATTTATCGATGATAATTGTCTTATCTTGTTAGTTACAAGATACAAGAAATCAAATACATATAACAAAAAAAGTACCTTTACATTTTTCAGACCATTTTGTTAAAGAACTTGAACATAATGTGAGAATAAGTTAAATAACGTAAAATATTCTAGTTTTTATTTAACAATATATAAATAGCAATCAGAAAATTAAAAAAAGCTATTGTGCTGGTTAAATTGTTTTCCATAGTTAATTGCTTATTGAGCAATTACTACAATTTGATTTTTTTTATTTTTTTATTTTTTCATTATTTATTTTCTTTATTTTTAACTTATTTTTATTTATTTATTTATATTATTATTTTTTTTATTTCTTTCTATGATTATTATTATTGTTTGTAATTTAGCCATATAACTCATGGAGTATGTAAATAATTCTGATTGTTATATAATATGAATGAATAAAAAAAAATGTGCTGGTAAAAAAATAAAAAATTGTTATTAGAATTCCAGTAATAGTACTGAAGTTCTACATACATGACATGATGGTGGTGGTTACTCTAGTGGGTTAAGATTCTAATTTAAAAATATATTTTTTCTTCTGCTACTTTATCTACATACTTTATGAAGACCTTCAGTAACTTTTTTGGTTCTTTCAAATGGCTATTAGAACTTAATCCAAGGGTTATCCTTCTTAGTTATGATCATATTTTACACACCTCAGGTTATTAGTTTCATCAACCAGCCCGAGAGAGAAATTTTTACTTGGAAAAATAAAATCTGAAATAAATTCATATTAATGGAACCACGCATTCAAATGAGTTTTATCAATTGTTCAAGTGACTTCTGAATATTCTATTACTTTGCTCTAAACTATTATGCATTGCAGTTGCAAATTGTGAAATAACATAGAAATACGGAAATCCATCGGTGAAGGCACTTTCTAACCGCACACATGATATTTTACATCCCATATATAATAATCAATACATTGCCATACTCATACATTTCTGCATAATTTAGATGGAAATTAAATTCGAAATCCGGTTAAATCCAGTTCAAATCTAGTATTAATCTATTTAATCGCCTGTTTGATATGTAAATTATAATGCAATCTGTTGCATTTGTGTTTTTTAGTGTCGAGGCAATGTTCGCTTTCAACATCATATGGTTGTATCACTGACCTACCAGTCTAGGTCGCTATATGATTCAATTGACAACTGTATAGTACACTCATATCATGCAATCAATAAGTAGATATATACTAAAATTACATAATAGTCGCAATATTTCATGCTATACATACTTTTTATTTTTTTTTAAATACTCCAATAACTTTGACCAAATTAAATTCCAATAGTTTTGAAAAATTAGGAAGTACGTGGCGCAACTGAAAAAAACTTCGGCCCTTCTTCCGCAAGATTCCGAATTCAATCCATGGTTAAGTACAACCTGATATCGAATTAGCAGTGTTATTCAAATTATTGAAAATATAGATCCAAAAAATGTTTCCCAACCTATAGATCTCATATAAGGAACTAGAAGTATCTCACTGGAGATTTCTCTACGCCATATTTGATCCCTGATATGAAATGGGATCAAAATATATCGAAATGGCTTATAGAATAAAAGGTTTTGATTGCCATTGGTGCTGCTATTGAGAAAGAAATTTCATGATTAGAAAATGACACAGGGTTGCCTTATAGAATACACTCATATCATACAATCAATAAGTATACACGAAAAAATTACACAATTCTTCTAATATTTCAAGTAATTTCATGCTATAGCAATTTTAATTCATTATTTTAACATGTCGCGTTTTTAATCTCTTATTGGTTAAGTTTTGAATCTCAATCCCTGGTTAAGTACAACCTGATATTAAATCAGCAGTGTTTTCATATCAATTGAAAATATAGATCAAAAATATTATTACCATCCTATAGATCTCATATAAGGAAGTAGAAGTCTCACTGGAAATCTTCTACAGCGCCATATTTGATTCCTGGTGTAAATAAGGATCAAATTCATATCCTAATGGCTTATAGGATATAATTTTTTCTGATTGCAATTCGATATGTTATAAAAAATATGTTTTCAAGTGATAATAGACCTCCAGGCGTTGATACTAAAAAAAAAAAAAATAATAATTAGAAAAAGATCAACCATGGTCAATCATTGCGTTGCCCAAGAAAAAAATCAAAACTTCATGTATCGCATTCGACCGTATGGAATATTTTATTCAGAAGCTTACACTTTTAACATATTTTTAATCCATACTTTATTTAAACAATGTTTTTCAATAACATTAAATGCCCCATACGAAATCCGAACTAAACTTTAGATTCCTCAAACCATGGCTTAATAGTTCGTGTAAGAAATATGATGAATATAATATTAAACGAACAAAATACTAATTATAGGAGAAGTATCGGTACATGATGCAACAATACTCCGCCCATAATTATGTA